CCTGCGCCAGCCCACCGGGGGGAGGCAGAGGGGGGCCGGGCGAATGGCGCTGCGTGCTAGTGGCGCATTGCGGATGGGGTGCGTGGCGGGGCGCGGCGTCGCGTTTCTTCCGGGGTAGGCCGCGGGGCTGCGGAGGGTGGCCTGCCTGCTGCAGGGGCCCTAGGGGTGGCGGGTGGGGCCCATAAGGTGGGGCCCGGACTGGGGTCCGCGGATGAGAGGGGCGGCGCGCTGTGCCGCACCCGGAAGTGGAGCCGGCCCGCAGCTGCGTCGCCTGGGCCGTGGCGCCGCCCCCCGACCGCCCCCCGACCGCCCCCGCGGCTACCGCCGAGGCCCTTTCGCGGCCTGCCCCCCACGCGGGGCCCATGCGGGGGCGTTGCCCCGGCCTGCACCAGCTTGGCGGCAACACTCTCGGAAAAAGAGGTGCTGGCGGGGCGGAGAATGGGCACGGCGCTGCGTGCATGAGGCACGCCGAGGCACGCCGACCCACTCAAGGGAAGTGACTTTCGTGACTCGCGTGTAGCAAGTATTAGAGTATTAAAAGTAGTATATTTTAAGTATTTAGTTTAGATAATTGTGTCTTTCTTCGTTGATTTTCTTCACAACGAACTTTTGGAAACTACGTTAAAGAGTTTAAAACGAGAAGAATAAGAGGAATACGCAATATCTAGGTTTTCGTCTCACGCAACCAAACGCATCACCTTGTTATCTGTTTGACGCACTGTTGTGTTAGTCTTATATTTCCATCGAGAAATCACTGATCTGCCGTAAGCTACAATTTTACCGAACTCTGTCATTTTAAAGCTGAAACTGCACGATCATGGGCTTTTTTCGTGGAACGTGTTACGGATTACCGTAAAACGGGGTAATATGAGACATGAAGGAAAATCGAGACAAAGCGCACTTTTTTCGTTTTTTGTCGCGTTGCTCTCTAGCGGTTGTTCGGAAGACCACCGTGAATTTTTTTTCGCGATCTCGGAGGCCGTGGCAGCTTACAGGAAGCGCACGAAGGCTATCAGAGACTCGCCAGGATTGTTTAGAACCACCGGAAAAATCTCTAAATTCTAACAAGTTTTATAAAGTTAGTAAAAACCTCCCCAGAAGTCTCGGTTAGAACTCAGGTTCTCGTCCTAACGAGGTTTTAATCTGTAGGCAATTATGTCAACATAATCAGGATAAAATTTGGTTCCGTTATGTCAACTCCCGGGCTGCCTGTTCCAGATGGAACACAATTTTGTTACCTTGCAGGGAAAATAGAGACACCTCTTTTCGCTTGAAACATGGAGCCAAACATAATCCCACTGTTAATAATTTCAATAAATAATGATTATAACTCGAATTCGTTTTACTATCTGACCGGCATCCTTGCTCTTCGTTTAGTGTTTTCATGTGACAGGCAAACTCATGACTTCTCCTACATTTTCCAGCTCTCTTTAGTGGCACCCATTTTTCTCCCCTCCCGATTTTATTTCGTCTCTATTATAGTTTCCAATCATCTTTAAAATGAGTGAAAAGAACTTTAAAAGCTCCAAACCCGCCTAAATGAGTTAATTCTCCATACTTCTTTAACGTTTCTTTCTTTTGTCCCATATTACCCCACATTGCAGGGAAATATGGGACGGCATTCCGAGGGTTATTGAAAGGTCCCTACTGCACCTAAAAATCTGAAATTTGGTGAGAGTGTAGCCAAAGGGTCAATGAACAAGTGATGAACACCTCAGTACCCCAAATTGAAATTGAAAAGGGGAAATTCACTAAAAACCTCGAAATTTGTCTCATATTACCCCGTGCTACGGTATAGTGTTACAGGTTCTTGTATTATTGGGCTTGAGTAAGAGTCGACCCCCCTTGGGCCCGCTCAAGGGGTGAGCCCGATAGTGGAGCTCGGGGATCAAGGTGACTTCACCCTCGCCGGGCACGGGCAGGGCGCTGAGGGGCTCAAGGAGGTGACGCCGCGTGACGCCGCCTGCAAGCAGCGAGCCGATTCCGTCTCCCTCACACTCGTGGGGCGTCCTGTGTAGGTGCGAGAGAGACGGAGCGACGAAAACGACTCCCGGAATCAGTCTGCAGGCTGAAGGAGTCTGAAGCAGGCCTCGCCGCTGGTCGCGCTAAGCAATCAGGCCGGGGGGCGCGGGCCTCGCCTCGCACGGCCTCGCCTCGCACGCTGCCCTGCGGCTCAGGGGCTTCCGCGGGGCGCCAGGCCTCGGCAGGGGGCCGGCAGCAGGCCCCAATCAACCTCACGCCTTTGTCCTTAATGTCGTCGGGTACGCACACGTACACACACACACACATACACGCACGCACACACACACACACGCACACACACATGTACACATACACAGCGCCTCCTCGCGGATTCCCTCTGCACGTGTGTGCTGCGCGATGATGCTAAATTTTCTGTATGCGTGCGAGTGAGAGGCGGAACGCAATATCATGATTAGCCTGGCTGGCGGCGATGGAGACATGTGTTGGCGCCACCCCGTTCACCCTTCGCGGCACGGCGCGGCACTGCACGGTACGGCACGGCACGGCACTGCACGGCACGGCGCGACTCACGCGGATGTGTAAGTGGTTAGTCTATTATTTACTATAGGGCACAACAGCTGGGCTTGCCTCGCCTAGCCGAGCCTAGATTCATTCATAGTTCCCCAGGGCGTGCGGCGGGATATGTGCGACGGGGAGGCCCTAGTTAGCTGAATTAGGAGGATTTCAATGAATAGCCGGGACGAAAGGGTTTCACCTACACCTTCCTTCCCTCTGTTTGTTTTATTTCCCGCTCGTTTTCGCGCCGTCTGCTCTCGCATCCACCACCCAGCACGGCCCGGCACGGCCAGCACGTGCAAATCGCGTCATCTTGCCGACGGGGATGCGAGAGCGAACTTTGGGAATGGCTTCGAATGAGAAATGGGCGCCGCAGGCACGCCTTGTCCTCCGTCAGCACGAAGTGAGCGGGACAATTGTGACAACTTTTGAACTAACGAGGACGACCAACGAAATGCCAGCTTAAAACTCAAAACCAGACCAGTTGGCCCTGCATTCAAAAAAGTTGTGGAAATTGGGTTTTGTAACCGCGGGTTTTGTAACCACGGGTTTTGTAACCACGGGTTTTGTAACCACGGGTTTTGTAACCACGGGTTTTGTAACCACGGGTTTTGTGACCACGGGTTTTGTAACCACGGGTTTTGTAACCACTTTTTTTCGGGTCAGTGGCTGAGAAGACCGCTGTGCAAAGCGCTATTTTTCTGTTTCGAATTAAATTAAATCGAGTCTATGCACTTACGCACTTAAACTTACTTCGATTTTGTCTAACGCCTGTATGGAGGCAATAAAGTGTGACAATCCCCTGTCAGTAGGCCGAAAACAAGGCTGCACTCACCGGTAAACTCACTGCACTCACACTCATTGTGCACATTTTCAGTCAGTGACAGACCCCTTAAATGAATCTAACGGTATACCTATGTCCAAAGCGGGTGTCATTGGCAATCCAATTCGTAAAATTCTGCAATTTTGGGTAACCGCCTGATCCAATCTTCGCGCCACCATCCATTACGGGAAACGACCTTCGTGGTCTTGCACTCGACGCATCGATCGTCGTCGCCCATCATGCCCGACTGGCGTTTCATTCGGGGAGATCGACCCGACGACTGATTTGGTTTTCCCCCGCACGCGCCGCTGCGCTGTGGCTGCGCACTACCTGAGGGGCCGGTGGGGTCTGTGGGGGCCGGCCGCAGCCAATGGCCGCAGCCCGCACCGCGGGCCACTCCACGGCCAGGCCGAGCGTGCATCAATCCGCGCCAAGCATTTCTCTTGATTACGCCATTCGGTTCAGCGCGACAGTCTCAGCGGGGCCGTGATCCCGCACTCCCCCTGGCCTAGCCTGGCCTAGCGCGGAGGGCAATTAATATGACCATTAGCGCCAGAAAGAGTGTGTGTAGGGGGGGGGGGGGAGAGAGAGAGGGGAGGAAGGAGAAGGAGGGAAAAGAATTACCACCACGTCGTCAGGTTGTGCTGGTAAGCCCAGCGGGCGGGCAGCCTTGGCTAGCCTCTGCAGGCGGAGCACTAAACCGCGAACTGCCAATCAGAGCGACTTGTCGCGGCGTGCGCGTGTTCGTCGCTGCTTTACGACGCACTACGCGACCTGCGGGCTGTCGCTCTGTCTCTCTCGCACCGGCACAGGTCTTCCCACGAGGGCGACAGAGGCGGGACGACGAGGGCACTCTTCGGAGCTGCGGCGCTAATACACTGAGATTCCAAACGCTATGAGTATAGCACGTATGGTGCAATGCGCTGAGATATTGCACCTTACGTGCAATGCCACAGCCATATTGCACGTTAGGTGCAATGCTTCCCGAAAATGCCCTATGCTAATGCATGGGAATTGGGAGGCATTGCACTTCATGTGCAATGCTTTTGCATTGCACCAATTGACGCTATACTCATAGCGTTTGGATTCTCAGTGTAGGGCTGGCCAAGCTGGAGGCCTGCAGGGAGGGGCAGGCTGCCGATGGCAGGTTGATGGCCGAGCGGTGCACACGGTGTCCGATTGGACAAACTACTTTGACTTGGCTGGATACCTTCGCTGTACATCCTCCAAAATGAGACTAAGACAGCACTGAATTCCTGTCATTTAAAGCGACAACCCAATGAATTTTCTGAGGTCCCGGCCTGGATTCTATAATTTTTTGAAGTGATGTAAAATTAGCGGCGCTTGAAGCACCTGATTGAAGTGACAAATGTCTTCTTCTCAAAGAACGAGACCATTTTACTGCCCATCTGTAACCCTGGTTACACAAAGTCCTTGTAATCAGAACAAAAGGTGTTTACTTTTATCAAAAACTTAAATTTTATTTTCGTTTGTGACCTGACTAATTGACCGGATCTTGGCAACATGCGGAAAATGAGCTCCAGTGGGCTGTAGGGCAGGTGAGGGCCCGAGACAACCTCTGGTCAGTAGACCGTCCAGAAACTGCAAAGGCAGAGCTTCAGATGCGTGACGCCGTTTCCCCGTTTCCTGACAGCCAAATCTCTTTTCGCCATCAGGGAAGACCAGTAGAACTACCCATTGCTCGATCAAACTGCATGAGGATGAGGCAGTTGCTGATGATGAAGAGAATGGCCTGGGAAGAAAGATTATTGTAGAACGATTTGGCTGTGAAACAGGATCTTATAAATTTTTCTCGCTCTGCTCTGACAAAATAAGAGTTCTGGACGTGAGAGCACGTGTTTTGAATTCACATGGAAGCAGGCAGGCAGATTTGCGCAATGCCAAAACACCCCCTCGCTCTTGTCGCACCGCTTTCATGCTGCTCAGGTCCATGGGAAGCATGCCGCCAGCAGAACAGGAGTGGTTGAGCAAGCAGACTTTCAGAATGAAAGCTTTTACCTGAAAAGCACAAGAATATTGTAACAAGCGTGGCGTGGTCCTCTCGCCCAGGCCAATTCGCACTCACTTCCCGCACTTCCTCGGGGGTCAGGTCGCTTCTTTTCGCCAGAAAGCTGTTCAAGATGTGTGACAGGGCTTCGTGCTGCAACACATGCCAAGGGTGTTGAAATTGTAAGATTTATGTTTGCAGTTGGCAGTATTGAAAATAAGATTTTGTGTTGGTACCACGTTTCCGGTGTCTTCTTCCTGTCAACCATGTGATTCTTGTGTCAGTTGTCGTTGTCTGTCGTTGTCGATCAGTTGAGAATAAACATCATACTACAACAAGTGTCTCGTAATTCGTTCAAGTCCCTTGAAGCCCTATAATCTAAATCAATAAAGGGGCATTTTTTTAAATCGCATCTTGCAGTGTTGTAGAAATCGTGGGCCCAATCTCCCACGACGCATCGTCACCCACTAGGCAAACAAGTCAGAGACGAAACCCGGACCCAAACTATACCCCAGCACCGGTAACATGACATAACTCACCTCGTCACGGACCCGTTGGCAAAGAACGAAGATGAGGACCAAACGCATGGCCATGACCACGGCCCAGGCTGTGTCCGTGACGCACAGGGTGGACGAGAAAGACAGGTTGGTGTACAGCGAGAAGGCGCAGTCCATTGTGTCTCCCAGAATGAAGGCTACGGTCTGGACGCCGAACGCACCAAACATGCTCACCTGAGAAGTCCAACCAGCGCACGAGGTAGGTCAAAGGACACCGTGGCCTGCAGCTACACGACCGATGTCATGGACCACTACGTTGGCGGACAATTACTTGTTACTGACCATCAAATCCCGCAAGATGGTCTGGCGTACCCGCAGCCCGTGCCAAAGCCTCCTGGTGGCAAGCCCAGGGTTGGCCCCATCGTTCTCAACCAGGCGCAAGACATCAGCATGAAGGTCGGCACCCAGTGCCCACAAAGTGGCCAGTTGGCAGACGAGTAGACCCCCCAAAGTGGAGGCGATAAATGTGACAAAATTGAAGAAAGTGGCCCGGAAGTCACCTTTCTGGTAGAGGACAGAACGAACCAAGAGTATCAGTCAGCACAAATATTAGTTTTTACTAGGAAGGTGCGCTTTGTTTTTGTTGGTGAATGAATAGTTTGGTGGGCTGTCGTTCCTGGTTAGAGGTCGACACGGGTCGACATGACACCTCCAAAAAGAACGGTTTTCGGAGTTCATCACAATGCATCCTGAATATTAATGCAGATGGCGCTTATATGCGCACAAGCATGTCAGTCAAAACTGGGATCAATGATTGAGGGGTCCTATTCCAAAGATCCTAACTGTGCGTTTGCGTTCCTTCTTAAGGCATCTCATCTGAAATGCAAGTGAATTTCGCGAAGTTTGAGACGGGTACGAGAGTAATCGGAACATTTCTTTTATCTTTCATCTTCAGGAGAAGGTGGATGAAATCACATCTTATATTGATTTGTAGCTTGTCAAATGATCAAACTCAGTGAAATTCACCTACGTTTAAGATTAGGTCTTCTTGAGAACATTAAAACTGTCCCTCCACAGGACCGGGGGAGCGTGTGGCGGAAGAAAAGAGTCGACAGAAAACGTACCTTCGGCTGGCACGACTGTTTACCTGTACGTCCCGTGTGTAAATGGAGACTACAGGGACAGTTGCAAACAGTGATGCCACTGCAAGGACGACAATGGCACCCAGGACTCGCTGCAAGGAGTGCGAGGACGGCCCCGAGGACGGCCGCCCGGGGCTCAATGAGTACTTCAGGCAGTGCTGCAGGCCAAGCATCACGGTGCGCACCTCGAGGCAATACCAAAATGACGTCGCTATAATAACCAGCGTCATGGAGATCTTGAACCAGCGCACGTTGGTGCGCGTTTCCTCCAAGAAAGTCGTCCGCGTATCTTTACACCACGACACTTCGTCCGCAAGGAGCACAATCCCTAGCGTGGGCAGTAGCGCCGCCACTAGCGAGATGTATCTGCAATCAGTGACGCACGTTATGATGCCAGACAAAAAATAACGCATTTTAGGACAAGCTTCAACCTCTGTTAGGATCGAAACCAGAGGAAGCTTAATTTTCGCAAAAGAACCCGTCGTTTTGTCCTACCTCAAAGCGGGACGCACACGTATGAATGCCACCTTAAAATCTTACTAGTTTAAGTAAATTTCAAAAGTATTTCAAAGTTGCATTGCTTAACGGAAAAAGCTACAGAGCATTTTCCCCCAAATACTAATCGTAAATAATCTTCACCCAAATTTGAGTTGAAAAATTATACGTCGCCCTAAATATGGTATACGTCAAGACACTTGGATATTTAGTGCATGCGTATGCCACTGCTTTCAAGGCGTTCAACGCTTCAACGTGTAACCCCACAAAGGTATGCCTTGTTTGGACAGCAATTCATTGGTAGGGCGACGGTTCGGTTCATGTCCCTTCCAGTGACTCAGAATCTTTTCTTCAACGCTTTCAGCGCAACATCATTTTATCAATCTTGAATGTAAACTCTGGCTGGGCGGTCGATAAATTAATCAAGGACCTAAGAATCGATTGCGAGATACAATAAAGAACTTACATCCAGCCCCGCCAGCTCCACTTGTTGTAAGACTTCCAGAACTTCCAGGTTTCCCAGGACTTCCAGGGGTCTGATACCGTAGGCGGGGGTAATATGAGACAATTTCGGGGTAATATGAGACGCATGATTTTTATCGTTAGAATTATAATTCTCGTGGCATTTGATGACTCATCCCTGTCAAACTTCACGGCGAAAAATGGTGCCAACAAAGAGTAATTAATTTTTTACAGCAGTGGCTCTCTTTGTGGCCGAATACCGAGCTCAGAGTGAATCTTGCGCAAACCAAACTCCGTCTCATATTACCCCGAAATTGTCTCATATTGCCCCGGCTTACGGTATCCAGGTGATAAGTCTCCAGGACATCCGTAAAAGGCGATGCCGTCGTTGGGCACGTTGGGCTGAGGTCTCGAGACAAATGGCGAGTCCCACGGTGCTGTTTGACCACTAGTTTTATCGACCTGTGTAATCAATTAGGAGCCCCCTTGAAGCAGGCAAGTGCAAAGAAAGGCATGCGCTCTACTGAACTTGTTTGTCTCCTCGGATTAAAAAAGCTGTTTCCAACACTGGTGCTGATCAACCCTGAAGGGTGTCTACAATGAATACACTTTGATGCAGGGACTTGAGTTTTCAATGTCTTGTTTCAAAAAGAAAATTTTATTTTCGTTTGTGAACCATGTTTAGCGACAGCATCTTGGTAACATGCGGAAAGTGAACGCCAGTGGGCTGTAGGGCAAGTGCGGGTCCGAGAGAAGGTCTGGTGATGCAACCGTCCAGGCACTGGGAAGGCAGAGCTTCAGATGCATGACTGCGTTTTCCTGCTGCCTGTGAGCCAAATCCCTTTTCACTATCGGGGGTCGTAGGGAAGACCAGTAGAATTGCCCATGGCTCGATCGAACTGCACGAGGATGAGGCAGTTGCTGATGATAAAGAGAATAGCCTGGGAAGAAAGATTATTCAAGAACAATTTGGCTATCAAACAGGATCTTATTAATTTTTCTCGCCCTCTGCTCTGACAAAATTAAAATTCTCCGTTGAGAGTACGTGTTACTTGGATATTGAATTTATACAGGAGCAGGCAGACAATTTTGCGCTATGCCATTACGCCTCGCTTTTGTCACACCGCTTTCATGCTGCCAAGGTCCATGGGAAGCATACCGCCAGCGGAGCAGGTGTGGTTAAGCAAGCAGACTTGCAGAATGAACGCTTTTATCTGAAAGGTACAAAAGACTGTAACATGCGCGTAATTGTCTCGCTGACTAAATAGCACTTACTTCTTTCACTGCCTCCGGGGTTAGGCAGCTGCTTTTCACCAAAAAGCTGTTGAAGATGTGCGACAGGGATTCGTGCTGCAACACATACCGTGGGGAATTTGTTACCCGTGACGTGCGTACCTCTGTGTTTTAACAAAGCTACGCCTAATCTACCACGACACACCGTCACCTACTAGGTAAACAGGTCTGAGACAGGAACTCATGTCCTATTTGACTAACTATCCCTTGCACCGGTGGCAGGACACAACTACTCACTTCGTCGCGGATCCGCTGGCAAAGAACGAAGATAAGAGCCAAACGCATAGCCATGACCACAGCCCAGACAGTGTCCGTGACGCACACGGTGGACCCGAAGGCTGAAGACAGGTTGGTGTACAATGAAAAGGCGCAGTCCATCGTGTCTCCCAGGATGAAGGCCACTATCTGGACACCGAACGCTGCATGCATGCTCACCTGAGAAGTCAAACACCGCATATTGTTCATCAAAACAGTGCAACGGTTGTGACGAAGGAGATCAAAGTGCATAGTTTGTCTGTTGCACAGGCCCTAAAGACCGGTGGAGGTGGTCAAGAGATTCTGAGTCACTGGAAGGGACATGAACCGAACCGTCGCCCTACCAATGAATTGCTGTCCAAACAAGGCATACCTTTGTGGGGTTACACGTTTGCTTTGAGTCACATGTTTAGCTCTACAAAGCGTCAAACGCACCTAGAGTTTTGGCCGCCTCCAACTGTCTTTTGGTCCACTTCGCGGTATTGTAGACCACGACGGACAACTAGTTGTTACTGACCATCAAATCACGCAAGAGGGTCTGGCGGACCCGCAGCCTTTGCCAACACCTTCTGGGGGCCAGTCGATATTCGCTCCTGGCGTTTTCTACGAGGAGCAAGACGTCAGCGTGGAGGTCTGCACAAAGTGCCCATAAAGTGGCCACTTGGCAGACGAGAAGACCCCCAGTAGTGGATGCGATGAGTGTGACAAAACCAAGCACGCTAACCCAAAATTCCTTTACCTGGTCGTGGATTGAGCAAATCAAGAGGATCAGCACAACTGTCAGTTTTTTTACAATGAAGACGAGTTTTGTTGAAGCTGTGTTCGTTCGGCGGTATTCTACTTTTAAAGGCTACTACGGCACCTGCACAAAAGGCAGGCTCTTGAAATTCATCCTGATTTTTACTCCAGGTGGCAAAGAAGAATCCCTGCATGTACAGTTTACTACTTGAATGCGCATAGTTTTAAACGTCATAGTCGCCTGATAAAAAGCATAACTGTCAAACTACGGAGCAAAACCGACAAAAAGGAGAGCGTAAACTCTACAAACTGAAGAATAAACTACTTGCAAGTACGCACCTAGGGATGCATACTTGCCTTAGGACACACCTACGAATGCATACTTTATGGGTGTGAACTCCTACAATTATGCCTCTGTAGATATGTACTCAGCAAGAAGGTGTCCGTAGACGTGTCCTCAGCCAAGATTGCATCTGCAGATGTGTACTCAACCAAGTATGCATCTGTAGGTGTGAACATCTAAGCCCAAGGTAGGTCTTGTGAAAGCCGCTCAAACTATCCCCTCCACTGGGCTGGAAACGGGGGGGGGGGTGTAAGCATCGGGGTTGATACAGGTGGACTTTCAAGGTGGAAGGGGTAATTTTAACGGTTAGCAGAAGACCGACCTTTGGCTGGAACGACTGTGTACCTCGAGGAGCCCTAAAAAGTAGAAGAATATAGGGACTGATGCAAACAGAACAATGACGGCCAGGCCGACGATGGCGACCAGGACCCTGCGCAAGTAGCGCAATGACGGCCCTCCGGAGAACATCGAGTGCTTCACGCAGTACTGCAGGCCACACAACACGGTGTGCATCTCGCGGCGACTCCAGAGCGACGTCACCAGTATAAACAGTGACAGGAAGATCTTGAACCTGCGCACGGCAGTGCGCATTTCCTCCACGAAGGTCGTCCGCGCATGTCCACACCAAGGCACAATGCTTGCAAGGAGCAAAACTCCCAGCGTTGGCAGTTGCGCCGCCGCCAGCGAGTAAAATCTGTAGCAGGTGGCAAGCAAATGTGACGATGCAAGCCCCACCCCAACAGAAATATTACGCATTTTGGGTGAAGCTTTAGGGGTGCTGCTGCCCATATCTGTTTGCTCCGTCACAAAGCAGGACACAAACTTAAAAATTCCGCGTTAGAATTTCAGGAGTTTGATTAAGTTATGAAAGTTTCCAAAGTTATATTGATTGAAGGAAATAGCTAGAGAGCACTATCGTCCAAAGTCTGATGGTAAATTATCGCTACCCAAATTTACCTTAATGTCAAGAGTATTGTATTGTGAATGCATACGCACACCATTGGGCACAACAAGGGGCAGAATTTGCGTGTTGTTGTATTTTCTTAAATGTTGACGGCATGGAACATCATGTAACATTTTAGCAATCTTAAATGTGAACTCAGGCAGTCGACAACCACATCAAGGACTTAAGAATCGATGGTGCAATAAAACACTTACATCCAGCTCCGCCAGCTCCACTTGTTGTAGGACCTCCAGAACTTCCAGGTTTCCCAGGACTTCAAGGAGGCTGATGTACACGTTAGCCGTCTCCAGGACATCCTTAAGAGGCGATGCCGTCGTTGGGCACGTTGTAGTGTGGCCTCGAGACAAATGGCGAGCACCACGGGCGCTTTGACCACCCAGCTTTATCGACCGGGGTGGATTGATTGAGAGTTCCCTTGACTGCCTTACACAGCCAGTTGCATGAAAACGCGTGAGCTCTACCGAACACGTTCGTCTTCTCTGATAAAAAAGGTGTTTCCAGCTCAGGTGTTGCTCCACCCTGACTTTTTGGCGGGTGTCTATAGTTAATACGCTGTGATTCAAGGACTTAAGTTGTCAATTTCTTTTTCCCTATTGTACGGGGAGAAGGATGGTGCACCTCTGTCACGTGTTGAAAAGTTCCCCGTGTTTGCCCGTGTGCCTTTCTTCCGTGGCGAATGCACCCCCTAGCGCATATTTCACTTGCTAAGGCTCAGATGCTTTACTTAGGTATAAAATTACTAAAAACAAGGTAGGTGTACGCCAGACCGTGTCTGGTCGTAACAGGCTTCGCGATGCTGCGCCAGTTTCGACCATCCACGCCTGGCGTATACACCTACCTTGGCCTACGGCGCTAACCTGCCTCCGGCAGGCTGCTTTCCCAGGCAGGCCGCAGAAATGGGCGTGATCCCCTCAAAAAATTGCATTTGGTCATCAAAATCTACACCAATGGGATTTAACTTTCGGTCGGTGGCCCGAACGGGTTCTATTTTCGTCATCAGCAGCCTCAAAAACATATGGAACGATATGAAACTTGGCAAAAAGTTGAAAGTACCTAAAAAGTTGTCTTTTTTCTGCCGTTTTTGAAGTGTTTTTTGGCTAATATAACCGAATGGATTGAGATAGAAAGCTGCATTTTGGTGTGTGGCGAGCCAAGGACATACCTAATGACCCTGCAAAATCTCAGCCAGATCGACCGAGCCGTTCAAGAGGAGTAGTGCACACACACACACACGCACGCAGACAGACAAACAGACAGACGAAACTTTTCAACCCCACTGGAGTAACGGGCTTCGCTATCGCTCAGCCAATAATATTGTCTTAAAACTAAAATCTGTCCTTTTTCGCGTTTACGTTAAGATTCCCTAGGCAGCTCTTTGAGACTGCAGGTAACCCGATCAAACTCCACGAGGACAGTGCAGTAGCTCATGATGAATAGAGTGGCCTGGGAACAAATATCACTTAATTTACAACAAGGGAACTTTGTGGGAATAATTGTTCTACTTTTCGGACAAAAGGACGTAAGCTCATTTCCATTAATTTTTCAGGAGGCAGTTTTAGGTAGTTTAAAGCCCTGTTTTGACAAATATGGGCATAAAATTTCATGCGAAAGATAACGTGGCATGCAGAAAACAGTGCCGATTTTTCGACGATCAGTTATGTCATTTCTTGCTTAGATATTCACAGATGAATATCACAGTTTGACTGACGTCCATTCGTTTTCTGGCAAAAAAAAACCGTAAGTCCATTCGTTTTTGTACATAACAACTTAAGTCTGACAAAAGAGCACAAGTCCACACCAGTTTTCTGGTCATAACGACCTTCGTCGATAAAACTTCGGTGCTTTTGTCAAAAAATGGCTGAACGTATAATTTTTTGTCAGAAAACATCACGCTGGACGTAAGTGCTTTTGTCAAACAACATGTGGACCTAGGTGGTTTTGTCAGAAAACTGATGGACTTGTGCTGTTTTGTCAGAAAACGAGTAGACTAAAGTTGTTTTGTCAGAAAGCCAGTGGATTTAGGTTTTATAGTCAACGCTATAACTTCCGAACTAATTGTCATGGAATCATGTCTTTCGCCATTTTGTGTAACTTTTCAACAGCACTCTGAGAAAACAATAAAACCGTTTTGACCAAAATGTGGACTTAAGTCCCTTTGTCCGAGAAAACCGGTAAAGTGGGAGACGTGTCCACAAAGCATTGTCGAAGCTCGTCTCATACCGATATCATGCTGTTGAGGTCCATTGGAAGCACGCCAGCAGCTGTGCAGGTGTTGTTGCCCAAGCAAATTTGAATAATGCACCCTTTCACCTGAGTTGTGCAAGACGAACGATTTTAATACACGAGGAGGGCCCAAAGATGTCAGCTCACGTGTCAGCTACTCTTGCACAGTTTTCTTACTTCTTCTTCTGAAGCAACCGGCTTAGAATTCAGCAGCAAGCCATTTAGGATGTGGGACAGTTCTTCGTACTGAAATCAATGAATTTGCAATTGATTTAGGGGAGGGGTGGTTAGTGTGCTCCTGCATTGCAAACAAGCTTACGGAGAAATAGCAACACTAGTGTAAATGTTGTCAGGATGTCAGAAACAAGTCTGAAATCCTGATAAAAATTCGCGCACCTCTGAAAGTTGAGATTCTGAAAACTTATCCTGATATTGAAGGTCTTAGTCAGAATAAGTTTTCAGCTTCAGATGTACGCGAATTTTGATCAGATTTTCAAACAGGTTTCTTACGCACTGAAAAACCAAACGTGGTCCAGACCGCACCACTAGTGTGGTCAGATGGATGCTATTTTGACCACATCAGTTGGTGTGGTCTAGACCACGTTTGGCCACGTTTGGTGTGGTCTAGACCACACCAACTGATGTCGTCAGGCATCCTTTGACCACACCAGTGGGTGTGGTCTGGACCACGTTTGGTTTTTCAGTGCGTTACGACAAGGTTTACACGAGTGAAGGCATTTTGACCATGTGCTTGGCACAAGCAATTCGGTTTCTCGTACACACTACACCATAAACTTCGATATAACGCTAGAAGTAAACTTTCACGCGCGATGGAGCGCCTCTCCAAAGCAGAGCATCACAAAAGAAGCCCAGGACGTTAATTTAGCATTGAAAGAGCACTGATGTAAAAAGGATGCCGCTTTGGGCTGGTAAACTGTAGCACATTCTTTGACTAAAAGTCTACTGGAAGTGAAAGCAACTCACTGTTTCGCTGATCCGTTGGCACAGTCCAAAGATGAGGACCAGACGCAAGGCCATGACCACGGCCCAAATCGAGTCCGTCACGCACTGGCGGGACGCGAAGGCTAGGGACATGTTAGTGTAAAGCGAGAAGGTGCAGTCCAACAGATCAGCCAGGATGAAAGCCACTACCGGAACGCCGCACGAAGCGCACACGCAAACCTAACGGTTCATACAAGCGCATTTGTACCACAAGAAAGATGAGACACGATTATATGGCTGCATGTTCCAAAGTTAAATAATTGCCTTCATGGGCTACACCCCTGGTGCTATAGTCGTTGTTTCCGACCTTCAAATCGTGTATGGTGAGCAAACGGAGCCTAAGCTCGCGCCAACGATGAGCACAGGCCCGTTTGGGGTGGGCGGCTGTATCCTGAACGAGGTGCAGGACATCAACGTAAAGGTCTGTGCCAAGTGCCCACAGAGTGGCAATCTGACAGGCAAGGGCGCTTCCGATGACGGAGATTATCCATGCTGCGAGCAATTCGATGCGCGCATCAACCGACCCAATCTGAAAAGTGTCAACAACGATTGCTATCTTAGTGGACAAGAAAAGAAGGGGCAAGCCCATCACTTGTATTAATTTTGTCAAAATGTCAGAAACATGTCTGAAATCCTGATCCAAATTCGCGCACCTCTAAAAGCTGAAATTCTGAAGACTTACTCTGATACTGATGGTTTGAGTACTACAGAATGTCCGAAGATTTTTAGCAGATGATACCTTTAGTACTTTAAAACGTACCTAGAACAATATAAAACACTTAAAGGTGTCAGCTAGCTTCGAGAGTCCAGAATACCAAGGCTGTATCCTAACAATAATGGGGGCTGGCTGCCCGGGCGGGCTGGTGAGTGAATGCGTGAAGCTCAGCCTGCGCGACGCATCGACAACTCCTCCTCCGGGTACAGCGCGAGCGGCACCGGCCAACAATGCCCTACCCCCTCTCGCACAGTGCCTCCCCGGTACAGCGCACAGAGCAGCAACAATGCCTCACGGCTCGGCACGGCTCAGCGCGCTCGGGGCACGGCGCACAGTGGGGCGAAACCGGAAAAAGTCGCACGTAAGTCCGATTTCGCCGTTTTTGTCCCAGAGGGATGGGACCGACGTTTTTGAACTCAGAAAGGACCATTCTATACAGTTACGAACATTTTTTGCACCTCAAATAACTACTACTTGCCGTTTAGCGACCTCAAAGTAGAGCAATTTCGCGAGAAAATGATACATTTGGCGGGGGTCGCGTAAGAAAGGCCACTCCTATCGCTGTTGCAGAGCAAAATAACATGTTTTATATGTTTTTGGAAAGGCAAAAAATCAAGCAGTCCAGTCCATACATTGAAATTGGTTTCAAACGAAAAGTGTGGAAACTGCGGGTCTTCAAATGTTTGCAAAAATCGTCGTCTGCGACTTTTTTGACGAGGGATAAGTCGAATTGCGAACATTTGCGAACCGGTCGGGCACCGTGGTGAGATAGTATGGTGACCCCACTTTCATGTCCATTTCGTCCGGCGATGCCGTTCGATGCCGTTTTCCTTCAAATCGACGTCAAACATGCGACTTCGTCTCGCCGCGCCACACCGCCGCTACCGCACCGCGCCCTCGGGAGAGGACGGCAGAGGCGCTACGCGCGCTGGCTACTCCAGCCAGCTCGGCCAGACACTGTGCCACACCAGACATCGTTTTGGACTGCCACCGATAGTGATACTTACAACTTCCGTGGTCATGCTGTTGCGCCAAGACGTGCATCGTTACGCAGGCCTCGGGTGCAGCCAGTATCAATAGGCGGCACAAGAGGCGCGTTTGGTCGTCTCCTGGGTATAGCTTTTGTCTTCTTATCTCCTCAGAAATGATTTTCACTCCCAATGAAACCCTCAAATCTAAAGTTTTGCGAGAATTCAGCAATAAGGTTCGTTTTACCCCCCTTCACGCACCTGGCTCCGCCTCTTAGGGTGCCTTTCACGATCAAATCTCGTCAGAAATGAATTCAGCGACCCCTAAATACACTATACACAAAATTTGGTGAAGAAAATAATTTCGTGCGACTTTTTCCGTTTTCGCCCCACTGTGCGGCGCGGCGGTGCATGCCACAGCTCGGCTCGCACCAACACTGTCCAGCTAGGTCTATGCATTTTATTGGGCTATCTATTTCATTTCATACACAATTATGAACAAGGTAGGTTTACGCCAGACCGCGTCTTGTCGTAACAGGCTTCGCGATGTCTCGCAGCCTGTTCCTCCAATCCGCGCCTGGCGTACCTACCTTGGCCTGCGGCGCTAGCCTGCCTTCGGCAGGCATTGGCTTGTCCATCGTCGGTTACTTCTTACGTGTTGCATTGGGGGGCTCCGCATTGGCTTGTCCATCGTCGGTTACTTCTTACGTGTTGCATTGGGGGGCTCCGCCCCCCAGACCCCCCTTAATTCTAGATATTGTTGCTTCATCTACAGATAACACGATCTTGACCCTTGTCACTGTTTAACTTGTCGAAGCTGGGGGGCTCCGCCCCCCAGACCCCCCTTTCTTCAAGACAGAGGTGATCTACCTGCAAAAAACTCGATTTTTCGCCGTTTTTTAGGTGTTTTTCGGCTATAAAAACTGAACCAGTTGAGCTAGGATAGTGAAATTTCGCGTGTGCCGAGCCAAGAACATACCTAATAAGCCTGCAAAGTCTCAGCCAGATCGGCCGAGCCGTTCAGGAGGAGTAGTGCACACACACACACACACAGACACACAGACAGACAGACAGACAAAACTTTTCAACCGCACTGGAGTAACGGGCTTCGCTATCGCTCAGCTAATAATCCCGAACTACTACCTAGAAGAAAACCAAACGAGTATCATCTGCTTTCATTAACGTTCGTTGAATGAGATTTTTAGCAGATGATACCTTTAGTACTTTAAAACGTACCTAGAACAATATACAAGGTAGGTTTACGCCAGACCGCGTCTTGTCGTAACAGGCTTCGCGATGTCTCGCGGCCTGTTCCTCCAATCCGCGCCTGACGTACCTACCTTGGCCTGCGGCGCTAGCCTGCCTTCGGCAGGCATTGGCTTGTCCATCGTCGGCTACTTCTTACGTGTAGCATGCTGTGGGGCTCCGCCCCCCAGACCCCCCTTAATTTTAGAAAGAGTTGCTTAATCTACAGATAACACGATCTTGACCCTTGTAACTTTTTAACTTGTCGAGGTTGGGGAGCTCCGCCCCCCAGACACCCCTTTCTTCAAGACAGAAGTAATCTGCCTGCAGAAAACTCGATTTTTCGCTGTTTTTTAGGTGTTTTTCGGCTATAAAAACTGAACCACTTGAGCTAGGATGGTGAAATTTCGCGTGTGCCGAGCCAAGGACATACCTCATAAGCCTGCAAATTCTCAGCCAGATCGGCCGAGCCGTTCAGGAGGAGTAGTGTACACACACAGACACACAGACAGACAGACAGACAGACAGACAGGAAAAATTTTTCAACCCCACTGGAGTAACAGGCTTCGCTATCGCTCAGCCAAAAACACTTAAAGGTGTCAGCTAGCTTTTACTCGAGAGTCCAGAAACCAAGGCTGTATCCTAACAATAATGGGGGCTGGCTGCCCGGGCGGGCTGGTGAGTGAATGAGTGAGGCACAGCCTGCGCGACGCATCGACAACTCCTCCTCCGGGTACAGCGCGAGCGGCACCGGCCAACAATGCCCTCCCCCTCTCGCACAGTCCCTCCCTGGGTACAGCGCACAGAACAGCAACAATGCCTCACGGCTCGGCACGGCTCAGCGCGCTCGAGGCACGGCGCGGCGGTGCAAACCACAGCTCGGCTCGCACCAGCACTGTCCAGCTCGCTTAGGTCTATGTATTTTATTGGGCTATCTATTTCATTTCATACACAATTATGAATAATCCCGAAATACTACCTAGAAGAAAACCAAACGAGTATCATCTTTCATTAACGTTTGTTGAATGATATATTTTTTTCAGCTTTTACACTGGTAGCCAACAAATGTGACGTCATATTCGTTCGAATGTGAATTTAGTCACGTTCGTTTGAATATGATGTCACATTCGTTTGAATGTTGATCTACGTTCAAACGAACGTGACACCCTACTTTAACGGCCGAGTCACGTTCAAACGAAGGTGACATCATATTCAAACGAAGGTGACAAAATTTACACTCCAACGAATATGACGTCACATTCGTTGGCTACCAGTGTAGAGGTGCACGAATTTTAATCAGGTTTTCATACACGTTTCTGACATTGCGACAAGGTTTACACGAGTGTGAGGACAATCCTTCAGTTCAAAACTGCTTTGGGCGACTTATTTTAAACGTGATAGCCCCACGTCAGTCACGCTTTACTGTCGCTGCAGAAAGACTCTCTCGTGATAAGCGCGCTGCTCAGCCCTAATCCGTGCCGTGCCGCACCGGATGTTAGTCTGTTTTGCCCCGCGGGGCCTCCCAATTCGCATGGTTCTAACAATCGTCTGTAATTGGCTGAAAAGGAGCCCCTCTGCACATCTATCACGAAAAGATCTCTATCGTAGCAGTGAGAAGTTGGGATCATTAGCTCATACCTTCCCGTCTCTGATAAATTTGGTGACCATGATGACTATGAGGATCAGAGCAGCCAGAGCGGAAGCGGCGATGGTAGTCGCGACCCGCTTCAATGAGCAGGAAGAAGGTACACCTCGCCTCATCGACCACCTTACACACTGCTGCAGGCCACACACCGTGGCGTACACTTCTCGGCCACTCCAAAGGAGAGAAGACAGCATTACCAGCACCAGGAACAGGCGCAACTTGAAAGAGATTGCACGCACGTCCTCCACGAAGGATATCTTGAAGTCTTCGCACCAAGGCACCAGTAACGAGAAGCAGATGATGCCCGCTCCTGGCAAATTTGAGGCCACCGCTGTGCTGTACCTGCAGCAAGTGACACGATGAAACCAGCGAGCTGTCCCTTGGCGAAGTAAATCTTCCTTTGAGCAAGCATTACCCTACCCACGGTTCCGCAGGGCGTACGACCTCACCTCAAACTGAACTTCAGCAAGAAAGAGCATGTGCGCCGAGTGGCGTGTAGCATGTGCCACCTAAAGTGTACATGCCAGGCAAGGGCATGATGGAGTGTCCATGCACCCAAACAAAGTCACTAAGACCTAACGAGATTTGGTGACAGAAAAAGAAGATCAACATGATTTTGAACTTCAAGAATTCAGAATCAACAGAATATCAAACAAGATTCTGAACTTTAAGAGATCTAGTTTTTATCAGAATGTGTGATCAGACTCATTATGATACTTCCGACATTAGTCCGGTATCCACGTATAATTTTTCCTTGTAATCTGGATTTGCAAGGGCCTCAAAAGGCGCAATACCTCTCGCGAACATCCACGTAGATGGGTGAGACGTGGACGCAACGTCCAATTCCAGCTAGGTGGGTGCACTGTGCGACGGCAGCCTACGACCCCTACGTTACGAGAATGTTACGTGAATATTACGTGGTTGTTGCCAGAGGGGTATGAAACTGCACCTACATCCAGCTCTGCATGCTCCACTCGGTGAAGGAAAACCTCCTGAAATGCGACGCCCAGGACAGAGGAGTTGAGAAAGGCAATGCCCCGAATGGCAACGTCCTGGATGGCATCCTGCAGGGGGCTGTCGGAGTGTCGTGCACGATCAAGCGTTTTGGCGGGACTGAAGTCGGACTTCCCACCGATCCACTTCGAGGAAAAGCAATCGAAGAAAAACCACCTTGACAAAAGCGTGGTGGCCTCGTAGTAGAGACGCCAACACGCAAAATGCCAGCACGTTCTGGCAACACACGTACCGTAGGACGTCAATAAAACTGTCAATAAAAATCGGCAACTCTGAGCCGTTCTGTACAATTACAAAAATGAAACTTTTGCTTATTTAGTCCACACTCCAAAGAGATTTGAATCTTGGATACAGTAAAAATTGTGCCATTTTTGTCATTAGCAGTTTTGAAACAGAGGCGGGTAATATTAAATAATTAAAAAATTAAATTATAATTAAAAAATATGCGGGTATCATTATATATTTAGAGCGGACAAAGCACGCATGAAAATTTATATCCACCTACCGGTATTTATTTCATAAATACGTCAAAACAGTGCAAAAAGCATGCAACAGAAATAATCTGGAGGAGGAAACGTCATTTGTTTAAAATGTTTTATGCAGCCTCCACGACACAATTTTGAATTTCACATTGATTTGCAGTGTTAGTTGAATTAGAACTGTATTAAAGATCGTTTAAAAAGATTGCAATTTTGTTATACTGAGGACGATCCCACGGTGGACGATCAAACGCAGCTTGTGACTCGGCAACGAATTTGCACGCACAGTAACTTTCATGAAATGGCCTCGGCTGAAAGAGGAATGCTACAATTGAGAAGCGGCTCCACCAATGAATTCCTCCAAACTCAGAAGAGATCCTGTTAATAGGGCACATCTGCCCGAAGACCGCAGATTTTTGACACTCGGAAGATGTAGGATTTAACCTTCTCTCTTCTACGTGTCAGGATTTGATGGGGAGCTCAATAAGACTGCACGTAGCCCGATCAAACTGGGCAAGGACGATGCAGTTGCTGATGATGACCAGAATGGCCTGAAAACCAAGACAGGTGTTCAAATGTGTATGTCAAGCTACATTCTAAATGCAAATGAGAGGCCCACACCCAGGAAAAGAATTCTTGATCGTTCTCTGTTTTGACAAAAACATGTTTATTTGAGTCAAGAATTCTTCAAGGTGCAGGCCTAGTTCAACTGGCCCAGACCGCTTTCATGCTGTTTAGGTCCATGGGAAGCATGCCGGCAGCAGTAAAGGTGTGGTCAACCACGCAAAATTGAAGAATGCACCCTTTTACCTGAATTTTACAAAACAATTGAGTTACAAGGAGAATGTGTCGAAGGCATCCTCCGTATTTTCCAAGGGTTCCTTACCTCCTGCGCTTCTTTTCGCGGGAGATTACAGGTGCCCGCCTGAAAGCTGTTGAATATGTGGGACAAAGTTTCGTGCTGCAAAACATTCCGCGCGGTGCTTTGTTATGGTAGAATTCTCTAGTGCCTGCTTATCTAGTCACGTGCAACTGACCTCCTCGCTGACCCACTGGCAAAGAACGAAGATGAGCACCAGGCGCAAGGCTATGACCACGGCCCAGAGTGTGTCCGCCACGCACTGGGTGGACGCGAAAGCCACCGACAGGTTGGTGTACAGCGAGAAGGCCGAGTCCACCATGTCGCCCAGGACGAAGGCGACAATCTGCACGCCGTACGCAGCGCACATGCACGCCTGGAAAAAGTAATCATCTTGAAAGTGACGAGTCCCACTTCAGTCAATGTTTCTCCAGGGGCGGGACTGTGCTCGGTACAATGACGGCGGCCAGGGTTCACAGTCTTTCGACGACTGTCAACAGAGCAGTAATTGCAACTGCCCTCGGGGGTCTTAACCATGCAAAGCAATGGCTGCCACTGACCTTCAAATCGTGCAGGAGTATCTGTCGGACCCGCAGCCCACGCCACCGGCACGCGTCGACCCGGGAGCGCTCGTCCTGGCTCTCATCCTGGCCCTCTGCCTCCGCCACGAG